AGGCAGTGGGCGTAGACGGGGTGGGCGTCGAGGTCGATCAGGAGGCTCAGCGCCGCGCTGAGGTCCGTCGGGAGCAGCTGCACCTCGCCCTTGAAGCGCTCCGCGTGGATGTGCGCCAGGCGGATCCGGTGCGCCGCGGCGAAGCAGACGAGGTCGTACGTCGGGCGCTCGGGCGTGAGCAGCACAATCGTGCGCAGACGGAGGCTTGCGAGGAAGGGGAAGTTTCGAAGCGTCGGGTAGGCGCCGCGGTAGACACCCACCTCGACCGCCGCGAAACGGAAGGGAGGAACGAGGTTAAGCCGCGGCGGCGCCGCCCTGTGGGGATCAGGACCGAGAAGGCGATTACTTGGAGATACCAACGCGCGGTGCGGGCGTTGGGTGCTACTACTCGGCAAAGGTAATTCCGAAGGCGCCGCGGCGTCCCCCTTGGACGTATTTTTAACCGAGCGCCCGGGGCTCAAAGCAAAGACGAGGGGCGCCTTCAAGGAGTCCTCCAACTGAAGGCTGCTTTTATGCTCAGCCATCTATTTTTTCTCAAAATAGACTAAGAAAGTGATATCCTAAAAAAGCTTTTAACACCGGTATTAGCCGGGCTTCTCCTTTCACCTTACGTGAAGGGACACTCTGGTTTTCACGAATTCTGTGGAGCGCGGAAAACCGAGTATAAGCAGTGTGATCGCGGTGCTTGGCGTTACCCCCTCCGTTTGCTTGCTGTGGATGGTACTTATTGGGGCACACTTGCTGAGTCCAAAATTTCACCGCGCTGCTATACACACATACACGCTGGAACTACAGAGACCTCTTGGGCAAGGAAATGAGATGTAAAGAGGAAAAGAATAGTTTGGAATAGGTTGCTATACACTGACTATCCTCTTCATGCCATTCGATAGCAATGCGCAAGACTCATAACCCCAGAAGAGACGCAGCAGAGAGTAAAAAAAAAACGCCCTGCTTTTCTTTGTGTAAAAAATTAACATTATTATTTTACCATAGTTTACGATACTATATCTCGAGTTAAATGGAAAACCGATCTGAGGACACTACGAATAGTTACTGCAAAGCCAAACCTTTTCACTAAGCGAAAAATAAATAAGTAGCGCTCAATATGGTATAAGATGTATTGGGAAGTTGGATGATTCACTTAGCATTTAACTTCGCATGACATCTTCACCCACAGACAGCGGAACTACAGCTGTGCATATCCGTACACCTACTCTCCTTTTCCCTTGCACACAAAAAAATGATATGGACCATCTTTATTGCTAATAAGTATTTCCCAAGTCATTCATCGGTGGTGGTAGGTTATTTGCCTTATTAGATCATCGCCGTTAGCTTATCCAAGCCTAGCATGCGCGTTGGCAAAGCCCAGAATAGGTACGCCATGAGCGCGCCGCCTGTTGACGCACCGTGCTCCTCTGGTCGTGTTGTAAAGATTCGCCACACGTCAATCACCATCACGAACGCCGTGAGCACTAGGAACGGAATCGGCGGCTGCTGGATGAAGTTTAAGTGGCGGAAAATTAACCCCTCCATCGCGACGAGCCCCATAATAATCGTGTTCGGCCCGTAGCACCGACCGCGAACCTCCAAATCATCCATGCCGTACGCTAGTTCGAACTTTTGCCGCGCGACATGGAGCAGACTACCACCGAGCGTACAAAGCATCGCGAAGAACGCCATGCGCGTATTCCCGAGGAATCCAAGCATTGTATCGCCGAACTGCCACAGCAACCAGCAATCAATGAGCAGCTGCAGCAGGTTTTCTTGGTAAAAAGCATTCGTGAAGATAGGGTACACGCGGCCAAAGTTCTCGTGCGAAAGCGTCAAATGCTCCACCAGGAAATCCCGCACGTTATCGTTTCCGAGCATCATAGCGAAGTAGCACACAACGTTGGCAATAAAGAGAATCATGATGATGTTGATAGTATGGAAGGGAGGTGGAAATGGCAGATAACCAGGGCCCGAGGACCGAGAGAAGGGATCTTCCTCTTCTTGCTTCTTCTCTTCCTCCTCCGCTTTGTACTGCTCGATGCTGCTCACACTTTGAAGTTGATCCTTCCCCGTCTTGGGGGCTTGGAGGGTGCCATTCGGCCGCCCTACCGCGGCGCTGGTGGGATGGTGAAAGCTGCGGAGTGAGGCGTGTAGCGTCGCGTTCAGGCAAAAAGGCGCACCAGCAGTCATCGCGAACCTCAACGTGGACGCCCCTCGCGTGAAGGCGGTGGTGGTTCGGGTAATTGGCGTCAAAGAGCGCAATCCTAACGATGGAAGGACGCCGCCACACCGTGAGCGCTCACTCATCTGAATTCTCGGTGAGCTGCTATTCAAGATGCCCGCATGAAACGGCGCGGGAAGCGAATGACTAGAAATCAAAGATCCTTTATCGGCATACTGGGACGCGTAAAGAAGGGCTCTTGCATCGGTCTTCAAGCCTGCGTTAATCACGCTCGGTAGGGCAGGATACCTGTTCTTTTGTATAGCTTTTCGAAGCCTCCTGGGGAGGGCGCGCAGTCCACGTGCGGTTAGAGTGGGCGCCATGGGATGATGGAAGAGGGCGACTAATTAAACCTCTTCTATATGGTTATTAAGATGTTAGTCCGTAACGAACACCTTGGCTCTATTACACTCTAAAACCCAAGGATAGAGAATAAGGAATTGAGAGAAGCGATACTCTGCTTCTCTTTGTCTTGATTTTCGCAACCATATGGAAGACAGAGGGACAAATAAATAACTATACATCAAGTGAATAGGTAATTGTGGGATCTAATTCACCAAGGAGACTCAGAAGCTCGGAGAGAAAAGCCAAAAAGACGACAACCCCAAAGACAGCACCCTACTCCCGTTTCCCTTGCTTCGGCTTGGTTACATGGTTGTAGGACGTGTATCATGAAAAGGCGTCTTGGAGGATGAAATAATTACGCAACCACGATCCCCTCCCCTTTCCCTAAAGAAAAAAGCAAGTGTCTGATTGGATCATGACGATGATCCGGCGCTGCACCGATTATTTTATTTCGATTTGAATTGTTGTTGCTCAGGTCCCACACATTTATCATTAATCAATCAACAAATATAACCGTACATTTCGTTTCCTAATCAACTACAACACCTCGGAATTACCCATTGGAAGAAGAAGAAATACTTTCTCCTTCCTCAGTACAAAAGAGGAGGGGGGGAGGGGGGAAACCGTCACCTTATCATTCATCCAGCAGAAGATGTCTTGGCCCGTTATTATTCACACACCCCTTTAGCTCTCGTTCGTGATTTGCATTCCGGCAAGGCATCCTTCGTGGATGAGTAAGAATTCATTAGGACTTAAGGCTCTGAGGTGGGTGCTCTTCGGGAGATTCAACCCCGGTGCTTGACTCCCTCTCCGCACCATCCGTCTCTGGTGGCGTCTCCTTTTGCGCGTGCAGCCTTCGCTTCTCCTCGAGCAATCGCTTCTCGAGCGCATCCCGGTGGAGGACGTCGCGCAGCCGCATGCGGCGGAGCTGCATGAACCGCACCTTACTCCGTATATGCGGGTTCGGCATCCCCCCGATGCGGCCGAAGGAGCTCGGGATCTGCGCGTTGAGGTCGCGGAAGGTGACGTGTTCGGGGACCCCGATGAGGGCCTTGGCCTCGTCCAGGTCGAGCACGTCCACGCGGACGGCGGCGCGGGCCCGCCAGAGGGCGGTACGGACCGGTGGGATATCGGGGAGGATGGTGGTTTGCCCCATGAACTCCAGCCGCAGCCCCCGCATCACGCGGTTCACCTCCCACGCGTGTTTAAACGGGTGATCGACGCAGCTGACGAGGAGGACGTTGCCGACGCGGCGGTACGGCGGCGGCCGGGTGGCGACCCCGCGGGAGACCCCCCCCGCTGCCACGACGGGAGCGGAGAGGGGGGAAATCCACCTTCGCATCGGACGCACTCACGGGATGGGGTGTGATGCGTCGGATGAAACGCGG